TTCCCAAATGGAAACCATGGAAAAGCTATTTTCCATAAAATTTCCCCCACATGGAACCACCAAGGGTATTTACATGTCCCACGGGGAAATTTGAAGTATATTCAATAAAACCCCCTCCCTTTTTTTTTAAAAAAAGTTTAATTTTAATTATGATATTTTTACCAATTATAGAAATATTTCAAAAGTGTTTACATGCTTATCAAAATAATTAACTTCAAACAGTTAAAATAACTAGATGTGTATTTCTGTGTGATTAATTTAATATTTAGACCGTGAACGCAATTAAATTTTTAAATTTTAAATTTTTATTGAACTGAATTTAATTTAATTTAATTTAATTTTGAATTTGATTTATCACATAAGTTTTGGTAAACTCGTATAGAATGCGTGAAGTGGAATAAAAAAAAATGCTGCGTTAGAGAAATCAATCATTTCCGATCCACTTTCTTGAAGCTGTTATGATGAATTTTCCCTTTAAAAAAAAGGAAGAGCGGAAGGGTACATTTAATGAAATTATTTACAGAAAAGGTTTACTAAAAAGATCGATTAAAAAGAAAAAAAGAAATATGTCAAGTTACGATTACTGATTAAGGACAGGTGAGACGTTCCTCAATAAAATAATTAAATTTTTTTCCCAAATTTTGCAATTGACATTGAAGAATTATTTTTACAAAATTTACATGTTTTCACAAGACATCAAGGTACCTTCCCGGCATTTGTGTTGTCCAAAGGGGTTTGGCTTTTTCTTATACCGGGGTAATCCGTAGGAAAAAAATACTTCAGTTGGTTTGTCAAAATTACATTTTTGGTGTTTCAAGTTTTTAAATACAATTTAAAATGATAAAGATTTTGTTTTAATATAATTAAATTTTAATATAAACTGGTCAGATAAGAATCATTCATCGAATTGGCTGGGGGTTGAGTATTATCATAAGATTTTACTATTAATAGTGAATATTGTTTTTTTTTATTTATTAAATTATTATTTTTATTATTGGGGGGGGGGGTTGTTTTTTTCATTTTTTCCTCAGAACCCCCCCCCCCCCCCCCAAAAAAAAAACGCTTTTGAAAAAGTCACTATGGTCGGCCTGTGTAATTAGGGACACCTGTCCTCACGTGCCATTTCAGGTGGAGACACATGCCGCGAAGACACCTGTCACTGTGTATTTTTTGTATATTCTATGTGAATTGAGACGGTTTTGTACCTAAAGGGAACAATAGGCTGCTGTCGAGCATGTACACACACAGTCTCCGACCGAAAATTACGCTTTGAATTAAGATGATGATTCGTGTTTCTTTTATCATTTAAAAAATTGTATATTCCATAAATAAAGTTATACAAGAGAACATATCTATAAAATAACCTACATTTAAGAAGTTTAATGAAAGAACAAACTATTTAGAATTTTTATTTCAATTTTTATTACTGATTTAAAATAAAACAATCCTCTTTAGAAATTAAATAATTTTCTATAGGTATTGAATAGATCTTAATTTTCGTCGTGTATAATTATATTAAATCAGAATGACGTTAATAGATCAATGTGAAATCAAAACTGTATTTAATATTGTTGATGGGTTTTTGTGTGAAATTTGTAATCTAACGTACTACGAAGACATTTATTAGATAAATGTTTATAATATAATTCAACTTTAAAATTTTCAGCCATTTTTTTTTTCTCTCCAAAGGCCATTGCTTTAGATAAAGAAAAGTCTATAATATTTTGCATGATTTTGTTTTCCTTAAGAACAATGGCTTTTAAAGTAGTACATGCTAAGGCAATCTATTAAAAGAATTAATTGTATAATTAATTCATTGTATAATTGTCACAATTGTATTTTTGTTCAGTTTTTGTTGATTTCATTCTATAAAGGTATGAAGTTTGTCAATACTTCAACAAACATTTCTTTATCTATGTTGTACACTACTTTATTTTTATTGCCGGCATGCTACTCTTTTTTAAAAAAAAAACTTGGGTGACTAATAGACTCGATCTTCAGGCCTGTAGGAAAGTAATTTCCGTTAGAGTAATAAACTAACCGGGATTTTCTTACCAACATACCTTACCAGATTTCTTAACGAAAAAAAAACATAAAAGAAATACAGGGCGGGACTAGTTAAAGCTGTATGCATATGTACAGTCCTGCACATCAACGAGTATAGATGACTTTCGACATAATCTTTCATATGACTTCACTTATACCAATCACGACTAAAATACTGAATTAAAATACTGTTATATTTTCCTGCCTTTGATAAGATGTTAGTTTTGTTCCACCTAGAGATATAACTCTCCTAAGAAAAAGGTTTTCAACATTCTGATTCATTTAACAATTTTACGTGTTAAAATGATGTGGGAAATATTTTTTAGCTTTTTTTACGTGTTAAAATGATGTGGGAAATTTTTTTAGCTAAAGGCCAAGGAGTTTAAAGTACAATGTACATGTAGCAATTAGAGAAAAGTCTAGCAGGTCTAGCAGGTCTACCAGTAATATTGATAGCAGGCGCAAAATCTAATTAAACCCCGAAAAGGAGGGAGTTCAATTAGTAATTTAATCCCCCCCCCCCAAAAAAAAAACACACAACAATTTATTAGTAATGAATTATTAATGACCGAACTTTTCAATCATCACTATTGAAATAAAAAAAAACTGTTCTTGATAATCATATTATAATTGTAGCTCATTTTCATGACTTTTAGGATTCCTGTGGAAAGTTCACAATAAAAAAATGTGCTTTTAAAAATTTAACATCTTTTGGTGTGACATTTTAAATTCATAATCATACATGTAACAGTTAAAAGAAGCGGGGAGAGGGGGGGGGGTACTTTCAGCAAGGACGGCCATTACCAACAATCAAGCCCCGAAACCCATATCCCGAAGGCAAATAAGTTGAGGTGTCAAGCAAGAAACATTTTTTTTTTCTGCTCTTGCATCATGTATTTAACCGCTTTTTTCTAAATATACAGTACTAGGCCTACACATCATATCGGCAAAAATATTTAGGAGTCCCTCTTTTTATTCCATGAAAAGCGGAAAACTTAATTAAATTCTAATATAAGATCTCATAATCACACTTAAAGGCAGAGATTTTAAGCACCTCCCTTATTTTTACCTGTAAAACATCAAAAACATGCCGGCTGTCAATCAAGCTGAGAAACAATAGGGCTAGATTTGATTGACGTGATCGCTTGAGCGCGATCTTACCTGGAGTGTGAATCGATCGCGGGGATCAATTAAAAACAATGCGTTTGATTTTTACCGACTGATTAAACAAAAATTATAAAATTAGAAAATCTGTTTTCCAGAATAAAATTAATTATGAGTACATAATTATTAATCTAACAGGTATTTTAATATGCTGACTATGATCTGGCTAATTTTACATTTATTCTTGAACATGACAACGAAAGTAACAGTACATCTTTCTGAAGATAAATTGGCGGCTATTGAAGCTTTATTTGCCTATAATGACTGGAATTGGGAACCTGAACAAGAAGAATCCGTAGTTTCTCAATCTCAAGTTGACCCCATCATTGAACCGTCAGACGGCTACTCTGCGTGTCTTGACTGTTTCTGTCGACCATGCGTAATGCACGAAAACAATCGGCAGCTTTGGTGGCCTGAAAGAAGTAGTCGACCTTCTACGAAGAATAGATTGAAACGAAAGATGTGTTATAAAAAGTTTTGGACAATGTTATGTCACAGAGGCATTTGGCAGGACGAACGATACATAGAAAGAAAGTCTCAAGCACTTAGTCAAGATCGTCGACATCGTCGTTTTGTGTGGCAGTCCCATGCATACAAACGGGATATTATGCCGAACTGTGTGGTACGTCAAGTGAGGGACTGGTTTCCTAATCCCCCCGATCAACCTTACATGGGCCATTTGTGGCACTGACTTTGAAAATAAACTGTGTGAAAAATGTGAAATAAATGAAAAAAAATTAAAAAAAAAAAAAAAAAAAAAAAAAGATGGCTCTATACAGGGGAGGCCTCCACGTGGCTAGAGCTGGAAACATTGGTCTTTATAGCGATCATATTGCAAATATATTTTTATTGAATTAAAATTATAATTATTTATTAAGATAAGAAAAATATAATTATTTATACAAACGATCGCTATAAGGACTGATGGCTAACGTCCCCAACACACACTATAAATGTATACACATATTAGCATGAACATTAAAATTTTATAAATTGAAGATATTCATTGAACATAATATTAGAACTAATGGCTGACAGGCCAGACACATTATGAAATATAAAATTTTACATATTTTTACATGAACATACATAAATATAAGATACCCACTGAACATGCTGAATACAAAGAGATTGAGAGAGAGAGATAGATAGATAGAGAGAAAAACAGGAGGCGTTTACACATAAAACAGTAGCTGATCTAGGATTCGGTCTCAATAAGTCCCCGACTTTTAGTTTTATTCGTGTTGTGTAAAGTAAAGTTTTAGCAATCCTTCGATTAATAAACAAAAAAAAAAAACTAGATTAAATTAATTTTAATTAATCTAGTGAATGTAAACAGTTTACATTTCCCATCCTGCATCGCTCTCTGGGCGCTTTATTTCATTGGTCAATTTCCCGAGGCGCCATTTTTGGAGGACCGAGAAGGACGAAGAAGAAGGTGTAAGCAGCTGGTAAATGTGAAAAGTTAAGATGGTTTCACCACCCAGTGTCTTTAAGACTGTGATAAATGCAATGGCCAACGATGAAGGATTAGTGTACGTATATTTTTGTTAACTTTTTACGGTAAATAGTTGTAATATTTGGCAACAACAAATCTTCACTATCGGAGGCAACTTTTGTTCTGACGCCATTTTGAAAAGTTGGATACCTAAGTTTTAAATTGTTAAGTGTATATATTGCAGAGAGAGAGAGAGAGAGAGAGAAATTTGAGACAGTGATACAGCATAACCAGAGACGTATACGTCTCTGAGCATAACTTAGATTACGGAGGCCCCAAAGGCGCCGTGCATGTGCATGCTGTATGTTGTAAAATGGCAACGTTTCGCCTTTTATCATGTTTATTAAAATGTATGCTCCATATGTATGTTCTCTCTCTATATATAAATGAATACTTTTCGGAATTAAAAAAAAATATTTTTAACCCCGCTCAAATTATCCGGATGATAATAGTTACACCGAGCATGGTTTCGTAGTTAAATTCAGACTGTAGAACATCCGGTTTGAATACATGTGTTTTCTGACTTTTCGGATAGCCAACTCTTGTTTTCTGGAACTTACGACTTATGGCAAGGTATAAATTACATATTTTTTGGTTCAAAACTTTGATAAAAGCATCGATATTTTTACAAAAAGTGTCTTCAATCTCAGCTTATCCGATTATTCATGAAGGATATCCTCATCAGAACAGTTGGAATAGATTGTAGCGAATAGCATAACCCTTAATCATATGCATGACGATGATATGGAGGAAAAATATACATAAAAAAGTGAATGTAGGTGAAAGCCTGTCCACTTTTCTGAAGAGATTAGGTTTGTTTTATTGATTATTGAAATAGTTTACTGCTCAAAAGATTTTTTTTTGTAATGTCTAACCTGTTGAGATGAAGATGTAAAAAAAGAAAAGCCTAATAGTGAATTAATATTGATAGTATGTCAAGAAATGCAAATGAATCATCAGCTTGAATTATCAGTTTTTTCACAATTATTGACCTGAGTAGGTCAATGTATAGCAAATAATGCACAATAAAACTACTTACATACATGTACACGGTATTGTCTTACTGAACAGATTTAGCTGTCATTAGGTCAAAATTGCAAATAATAACATGCTTCTTATATCTGTATATACAAGTAACTCTTGATGGCTTGAACTTAAATTTCTCGGAAGTTCTTGATCGCTTGAAGTGAGTCTCCGGTCCCGATTTTTTCCTCTATATAACTAAGCAGATTTGCTCTTGATTTCTCGAACTCCTGATCTCTCGAAACCCTTGATCCCTCTAAGTCAAAATGCAGTCCCGCTGTGCTATGAATTTTACCCTTGATACCCCGAAGTGGCTGTGTGTATACCCAGTTATAATGTTCAAACTTTTGCCATAACTGTTTATCTGTGTGTCTGTCTGAGTGTCTGTTGTCAACTTAAACCTTCACCATAACTTTAGAACTATAAGAGATAGTGGCTTCATATTTAGTATGCATACTCCACTAATGAAGTGCTTTCAAATGGCAACAAGGACAATGATTATGTGATCTTGACTGTGACCTGTATGCTAAAAAAAATTGCATTTTTGAACTTTGTTGCTGTGTTTCACAAGCGCATCTTGTTTTTAGCTCTACTGGTCAGAGACCAGAAGAGCTTATGCGATAGTAATGCGTCCGGCGTCCGTCCGTCTGTCTAGCTGTCCATCTGTCTGCAAACACTACTCCTCCTTAAATTTTAGTCTGATTTCAATATAACTTGGCACACAAGTAGACTATACATAATTCTGTGCATCAGTCTTTGATAAGTACAAACCACAGGGTTCTCCATGAGCTGTTTTACTGTGTTGCTCCCGACACAGTAAATTTTTCTCCGACACAGTAACGATTCAAATTTCATGCATGCGACACAGTAAAAATTTTGCCGACACAGTAAGAGTTGTGATAATTAGAAAATCTAAACACGCAAATTCTCTCTAACTGAAACTTTAATTTAATCAAACAATTCTACCGTCTTTCAATTCAAAAAGATATAACACGTAATTACTAGGGCTTCACCTTGAGTAATCAATCAATTATCTCCTAGACCCTCGCCGGACTTTACGCATGATGGAACAAAGACAAATAAATTGTTTTCACAATTCAATGTACCCGTTAATTGGTAGTTGCAATGGAATACTTTGTATTATATATGAAAAATATTTAAATATATCTTTCATATAGAGCAACAGCCCTAGAATTATGTAAGCACTGTACGCCAAACATAACATTGTACCAAAGTCATTTAATTGATGTAAATACATTGCCGAAAATTTTGAAATTTCAGCATGTTCAAAGAACTCTTTTAAATATTTCACTGTTCTGAAGTTCCTTTTTTGTGATGCGGTAGCTCGATCAAGAAACCTGATAAATAAACACGGCAAATCTACTCTCAAAAATGTTAAGTAGTTAGACTATCGGTCGGAATTTCCTCTGCTTTTCAGAATGTTTTTTTTTTATCAGTATGTAAGACCATACCATTTGTGTAACGAATTAGCGATTTTTAAATAAGTGTGTGCTTGTAATCTTTTGTAATTATAATAAATTGTGATTCAATTGCGAATTTGTTCGCGAAAATACCGCAAAATATTAGTGCTTCGCGTGAACTCTGCAACACAGTAAAATCTCAAATGATGGAGAATCCTGAACCAGTAGAGCTACAGTCTCGACAGAGACTTCTGGTTATTTTTTCTTCCATCCCGGTTGTTGCTAATGCTATTACATAATTAGTTTAAATTAGAATGCAATAGTACCTGGACATAATTTATCATTTCAGAGAGAAGAAAACTGTGACGTTAAAAGAAAACCAGTGAGATAAAATCATAGAAAATGCATGATGATTCAGGATGTGGTCATTTGGTAAGTAATAATTCATTCATGATTAGTATGTATATGACAATTGCCTGAAAAAAAAAAGATTCTAAATTTTATTTAAATACTGAACCGTGGTATATCAGCTGTGAGCTACAAGAAGTTTTATGTAAAAGCTAGGGCTGAAACAATTCGCCCCCTCAATGTTATGTGTGTATTGCTATGATTGACATACAATCAGTTCTCTAATACATACACTTCAATAAAACTTTGTCGTCTTGAACCTGAATTGAAAAGGAAAAAACTCTGAGATCTCTCCAAAAAATTGAATGAAAAAAAGGAAATGCTTATTAACTGATTTCTTGCTGGTCAGTATTTTGATTACTTAAAGGAAGCTCTAAAAACTGCACACTAAAGAGTTCTACTTTAATATCAGGTAGTGTTTTGAAGTTAGAGTGATCTGCCCTTAGATTAAGATTATGAAAAATGTTATTTTACAGTCAGTTAGATTATTTTTAATAGATTAAATTATTTTTAGCATTATTTAAAATTAAAAAAATAGGAAATTAGTTATTTTCATAAATTTTTCCAATGTAAGTAAACAGCTATGATTTCTGCTTACAGATAGTCCATTGTCTTTGAAAATTTCTTGGGGAAATGAGGCACATACCATATGTTCTAAATGCATAAAAAAGGCTCATTATGCATATATTTATATGAAATATGATAGATTTTTTTCTCTCCAAGGAATAATTTCTGCAAGTCACTAAGTTTTTAGAGTTTCCTGTATTTTATAGATATTCAATGAAATTATTTGAAGTATTAAATTTTGGTAAATTTTATGATACTAAAAGGTTATAAGGATGAAAAAACAGCATGCGTGTATGACAATCAGGGCTTAAATTTTTAATGTCTCTTAATTTTTCAGTGACATTAAAACAGGAATTGTCATCACCAATAGACTGAATTTCACTTTCCTAAGAGTTTTCTCCAATTGTCGGCGTATCGCTCATTTTTCCCACTTTGTCTTTTGTAAGTTACTTGTTAATATATTTTCAATCTTCAAAAATATTGGACAATTACGATCTGTATCTGTATTGCCAGAGTATGGGGGCAACATGAAAATCATAATGAATATGTTCATACAGATTTTATTTCTAAGATATTGTCCTTCAACGTTGATACGGTTAAAGAGGGAAAACAGCGTCTTAAGCCGGTTGACCCCAGATCGACCTTGCGAAGGGGAATAACTTTTGTAAATGTGAAACTCAAAGTCCTTTATGGTATATCATATAGATCTAAAACTGACTGAATTTTGATCAGCCAATTCATGAACATGATGAATGGATGTAAATAATGTTGGTCAATATATGTAAAAAAAAAAAAAATTAAATTACTTGTTTATATATACATTTGTGGTATCTCTCCCATTGAAGTTTATAAACTTGTTATTTATTTCTTAAATAAACTGAGCGTACATGCAATACCGGTATAAAATTACTCATAAGATACATGTATACTTAAACCATGATAAAATCATATGTGTCCAATTCAGCATATGATAAATCATTAACATACAAGTACATGTGTATATATACTGTAATACATATATATTGCATTATTTTTAGGTCCTGTTCTGTGGATGCCCTAAGACAGTGTCTACCCATCACTCCATCTGATATCACTTGTTCTGAGCATATTTCTCTCTCAAACTTAAACTACAGAGAGCCTGTGGATAGAGGATGAAGAGTGACCTTGGACTAATTTTCTAGGTCAAAGGTCAGTATCAAAATGTACTGTATATCTTTATTTAAAGTCGTAATCCAGAGTATATTTCTCTCTTGGTGTAATCTAGCTTTTGTGTAATGGGGTGGAGGGTCTGCAATGATCTTCAACCAATTCATAGGTCGAATATCAAAATTAAAAAAAAAATCTCTCCCTAATATTTTTGTTATTATAAAGGGTATGTTTTCTCTCAAACTAATCAAACTTAAAGCAGGGTTCTTAGTATGAGATACATGTAGTAATATATTCTCAATGACATAATAAGGCTGAAAACATTATTTATATTATGTTATTTTTTTTCACTTATCATAAAGCATTAAATATTAAAGAGATACATTAAATGCTGAAATCATATGTATCATGGTCATGGAAAGTAATTATTGATATTGATATATTAAAGGACATTGACTGATCTTTCAGATTTCTAAGTTATATTCAAGCATTATAATTCTGACATCATATAATAATTTTGTATGAATATTGCAGATCATAGGTGATGTGAAGAGAACCAGGAAACTGATGTTGAAAGAAGTACTTAATGACCCTTATGAATGGACTTAAATGTGAAAGACTGTTCAATTGTTTATCTAAGATATATGAATTTATTTAATATTTTGATATCATTGAAAAATTCAGTTACAGTTTTTGTACATCAAATGAATTATTAAACATATGAAATGGTAATGCTTTTTTCTTTTACATGTAATAAATTTTTTTGATAGATTTTTAAAAGAATACGCATTATTTCACATTGCTCCCTTTAGAAAAGTTGGGGAATCTTGAAGTTTCCCAGTAATTTCCACCAGGAATGGGACTCCAGATAATTCCACCAAGTTTCCGCCACACAGAAAGTGCTACACAAGTTCCATATAGTTTCCTGAGGCAAGGAAGCTTCAGGAATCATAAGGGTTCACGAGCTTCCATGTAGTTTCCCATAAAAGAAAACCTTAAGATTCCATCAAGTTTCCATTCCACAGAAACCACTACGCTCATATTCCATATGGTTTCCTGAGTCGAGGAAACTTTAGGAATCGTGAGGTTTCCCGAGCTTCCATGTAGTTTCCCGTATAAGGAAACCTAAAGATTCCATCAAGTTTCCATTCCACGGAAACCACTACGCTCCGATTCCATATGGTTTCCTGAGTCAAGGAAACTTTAGGAATAATGAGGTTTCCCGAGCTTCCATGTAGTTTCCCGTATAAGGAAACCTAAAGATTCCACCAAGTTTCCATTCCACGGAAACCCCCTACGCTCCGATTCCATCAAGTTTCCTGATTCTGGAAACTAGTGGAATCTTCAGGTTTCCCATTACGGGAAACTACATGGATGTTCGGGAAACCTCACGATTACAGAGGTTTCCGTGGTTCGGGATACCTTATGGAATCGGAGCGTAGGGGGTTTCCGTGTCACGGAAACTTGGCGGAATAACCTAGCATCCGCTACGGAAACCACTGGGAAACATGATGTAAACTTGAGGTTTCCATGTGGTTTCCATAAAGTTTCCCATGATGGGAAACCACTTTTTTCACCCAGTGTTGCTGTCTAAACGAAAGTAGGAAAATCCCATCTGCATATCATACCAATTGTGCACAAATAAAAACAATGAACGAAAAGTATTATTTAATGACATAAGAGCAAATAATTTGCTACGTTTTCTGTAAATAGGTATCAGAAATATTGGAGTTGTACCAATGCAATCATAATTTCATAAACGTATAGTATCAATATAACATCCTAGGTAAAATATATCTGAAATGACTGGCATTCGACCTCGCGCTTGTTTTTATACTGTATAAATCTCAATCCTTGCACAAAAATACCCTCAATCATCTTTATACACCCCTTCAATACTTCTGTAGACATTGTTACGTTCTTGCTAATCTTATATGAACCATAATATTAATGTTAATATTAATGTTTGACAGTGAAATCCCTGTCTTTACCTTGTCAAAACCACCCCATCTCATGGCATTCTCATCTGTAAATTCAAATGTCGCTTCCGTACTCAAATAATTTCTTCTTTTCTCTGTCACGCTCTTTCCGATCTGTGTTTGATTTTATTAGAGTTGTTTTTGGTTTTTTAAAATTTATAGCAGCTTCCTCTAAACTACCATTTTCTTCTTCAGTATTGAGTTTCATAAACTTTAAATTTGATGGGCTTGAGAAATATTTTGACTTCTTTTCCTTGGTAACGTTCCGCTGTCCTCATCTCTCCCATTTTTCCTCCTCTTGGGTGTCATCTTTGGCTCTCTGTGTTCTCATATAAGCAAGAGAAGATATTGCCAAGCCTTTTGCCGATACATAAAATAGACGACAGGCCTTTGTTTTTGTACACTGACGTATTGGAAACATATGCCTCTTCTACAATTATCTCGAAGTATTCGTAGAATGGGGACTGGGACCTCAAAGTTTCCCCATCAAGCACTTCGCGAGGCGCATCGTATGTATGAGTAAATGCATTTTCTTCAATATTGATGCCTTCCATCTTTATAATGCTTTTTTGCTGTCTTGCTGATCAGCTTACTTTTTGAAATTGTTGTTATATCCTCAACTAAAGTTCTTGCCCTTTCCAGTGATGTTGATGATTGTAATCGTGCTAATACATATAGCCAAAATATCTTCACATCTTTGATCTCTGTTGATTGAGCAATTACTTTTTGAAATAACTTATAATTTAGCATGTGGGCTGCACAAATGTGTAGAACAGTAAATTTTGATGACATAGTTCTAGATGATTGATTGATTAATTAATGTTTTACGCCGAATCAGCAATATTTCAGCCATATATCGGCGGTTAAAAGTAAATCATGTGACCAGTTTTTAAAGTTTTGGGTTTCTCTATGAGCCTACCCTTTTTCGAAAATCAGGGAAACGATCTTTTGCGTGCGAAGGGGGTTGTAATCCTTGACACGGGGCACCATTTAATGTCCCATCCGACTGACCTCAAAATGAAAATGTAAAGCTGTTCAATTAAAATGTCTTTCATTGAAATACATTAATTTAGATTTTACAGTAAAAATCAGTTTCTTGCAAATATTTTAATATTGTAAACGGATTAATATTTTGAAAAAGGTCATGCATTGTATGTATTTTATTAAAGAGTCTACTACGTATGGGCGAAAAATCAGAACATTCTAATAGTATGTGTTGTACAGTAATAACACAGTCACAAGAGATACATTCGGGTTGTTGTTCCTTGTTGAGTAGGTATGAATGAGTGAACCTTGAATGTCCAATACGAATTCTTGAAATAATAACTTCATCCTGACGTTTCAGACCAAAATTAGATGAATGATTAACTTTGTTCTGTATTGCATAAAGTTTATTATTATCGCAAAAATTCCAATATATATGCCATAGAAAATTAACATAATTTTTGATAAAATATTTCAAATCAGTATAAGGAATTTTAAACTGAACAATTTCATACTGAAGTGCTTTTTTCGCAGCACTGTCAGCCTTGGTGTTACCAGAAATACCAATATGACTTGGAATCCAACGGAATTCAACAACTTTACCTAGATTTGTAATATTAAAGTATTTGGTTAAAATATCTAAAATATACGGGTGATCAATGTTCATACTGCTTATTGATTGTAAACAGGAGAGAGAGTCTGAAAAAATTGTAAATAAATTATCACTAGATGATGAAGTTATGCTGTTTATATCAGAAGGTTGGAAATGAAGTTCACTGGATACAACTAGAGCGGGATCTATGGAGAGTATACCTAAAAACAAAAGAATGTAGATCATTGCTAGCTATAGAAGGGTTTGAGGTTAGAAACATCTCTGTACAGGTGTATGATTCGAACCCCTACTTCACCGGAGCTACTGGTCATGATGATAAGGTTTTGAAGGTTACCATATATGGGCTACCCCTGTCCGTTGATGACAGCGCTGTCTTTGATATGCTCAAAATATTTGATGTAAATATCAGAAGTGAAGTAAAATATGAAAACATTAGACACCCTGAAACACACCGTATGACCAATGTTTTGAACGGAAACAGGTTTTTTTTACATTGACCCGCTTCCCGATGGAAAATCTCTTCCGCGAAATGTCATCTGCGCTAAATTGAAATATCGAATATACCATCAGAACCAGACGTCTATGGATCCCAAAGTGCAGTGTTTCAACTGCTGGGCAACTGGACATAGGAGACAGCAGTGTAAGAAGGGCAAAGTCTATCGAGTCTATAGGAGTCTGTTCATACTCCAGGATCAACGGAGTGTCGGCACTATGTGGATACGTCAGATGTCAGTGAAATGGTGGTATTTCAAGGAAAGTATAATCCTCTCTCTAATTTATATCCGTGTGAGATAAGTGTGTTCGGTGAAAAGCATAAATCTGCGGAACACGCAGACCAACTGACCAAAGCAATTCGTGCAGGCGATCTAGAGGCGGCCAAGAAGGTGAGAGAAGCAGATACGGCTTTAGAAGCTAAAAGGCTAGGACATACGATATCAGATCCACTAGGATGGAACAACGACAAGGAGACGTTGATGGAGGAAATCGTTTGTTCAAAAGTTGACCAGATACCATAGGTAAAAGCCAACCTTGAAAACTCAACAAGTAACACCATTTTTAGTCCCCTACCGGTGAAACCGGGGGGGGGGGGGGACTATAGGTTTCCTCTGCGTCCGTCCGTCTGTCCGCCTGTCTGTCCCAGTCTGTCTGTCCCACTTGGTTTTCTGCACTTTTTTTCTAAACGCTTGCAGATATTGAGCTGAAATTTGGTATGTGTGTATCTTAATGAGTTACAGATCAAGTTTGAATTTCGCTTCGCTTCATTGATTTTTGACAGAATTATGGCATTTTGAATATTTTTCATAATCGCTTAATTAAGATCGGGTTCGAACTGCGCTAACTTACGATTGTCGACGAAAATATGAAGCGAGGAAAAGACGATGTAGAAATGAGTTGAATTTTCGTCTCAATGTGGATTATTTTATTAGTTTTAAGGCATTTACAACTTGAAAATCTTCCAGTTTTACCTTGGACATGACTTTTGCACATTATAAAATGACAGCCTGAAGAAAAAGGGGAACCCGGTAGGGGACATGTATTGCTTATGCAATACTCTCAGAATGCTTGTTGCAGAGGGTACTTATGACATATAGTCGGGCACAGGATTTGATAGTGAGGCAACATTACATACCGATCACAAGAAATGGCCCGGGCAGAACAAACTCGGAAAATATACCAAAAGCTTGCCTCAAAACACGCAAGAAAACTCCGAAGTTCTTCCCTTCCACGCAAAGGGACAAGTGAAAATCAGTCCAATATTGAGGACTTCCTAAGAGATGTCAAGAAAGGTCGCACAAAGAATACAAGTGTTAATAGCAAGAGTGATGCCGGATGAGAACGGTAAGTTAACACACTACAACATCCTTTCATGGACAATCCTACTTTAAAACTTTACGCCCTAAATGTTCAAGGTTTAAATACATACAAAAAGAGAACATTGCTGCTTGATTAGTTAAGAGATGCAAAATATGACAATTTTCTTACAAGAAACTTATTTTATAAAAGAACAAGAATCATATTATAACTCTCGTTGGTTTGGACAAATTATGCATTGTTTTTCTGAATAAGTATACAGTAGGTGTGTATCAATTTTGTTGATAAAAAAATTGTAAAATAGAGATCTTAA